CTGGGCTGTGACTACACACCCTCTCGCCCTGCCAAGGGGTTCTCCGGGCCAAGTCAGAAACACGCTGCTAATCCAAAGCTAAATCAGGAATTCAGACAGCACAGAAGGCGTACGGGGATGCTGAGGGATCCTAGGGGCCCCCGGGGTCTCAGGTCATGCCATGACAATGGTAGAATGTCGTGCCCATGGGCATCCAGGGGGGAGCTCTGGTTATACTACCGGCAAGACAAAAATAAAAGGGTATTCATTTTGTAAGACAGGTTGCAAAGTGGTCTCTTAAGGAACTATACAGTGCTGCTTAGTCTGTAATTGTTGCTAAATGGACTCCTAATAGCATTCACATCTTCCTGCAAAACCTATCCATTGCCGGTAACTGGAGAGGTAGACCCTCCACTCACGCTCATGCAGGCGCCCCTGCAAATAAAGGACCCGATCTTTTTCCAGATCAGACTCACGCTGGGGTAAACCTCTTACACTGGAAGGGCTCACTCTGGGCCCTGTTCTTATTCCTCCCACACAAATGCAGCAGCAGGAGAGGTGCGGTTTCCCAGGGCTCCACCAGAGTCTCAAAGATTCAAGAAGGTTTGCACTGTCTGTCCAGCTCACCTCCCTATTCCAGTGCCCAGCTAGGTGTTTAATCTGCATCTGGTATCTGCACCATGCAGTAGGTACTTAAACTACATCTGGTATCTGTACCACATAGTAGGCGCTTCATCTGAATCTGATATCTATAAGATTGGACCAAGGGTTCTCACTCTCCAGCACCAAGCATGTCGCCTGGTGCATAGTAGAACCTCAACCCACATCAGCAGAATGGATGGGGCTTGATGTTGAGATGGAGTGTGGGGACCTGCTGGACCCTGCCCTCCCGTGGAGGAGAAGCCAGCACACCCAGTGGACAGAGCAGTCTGGGTTCTGCCCACGGGGATCTCACTCTCCACCTGCTGCTCCTCCGCTAGGAGGAGCCCAGGAGAGTCCACAATGCTGGAGCTGGGAGGAGCTTTGGAGAACCCCTAGTGCAACCTCCTCATCTTACAGAGGGGGAAACTGAGGCCTGGAGAAGAAATGGGATCTTCCAGAGTCACACAGCTCAGCCATGATCAGATGGGGTCTGGTCCAGCCATAGCACATTACTGAGTCCCCCACCTCCGGCAAAGCAGGCTGGGCTGGGCTGGGCTTGCACCAATGTGGGGACCCTGATCTGCTCCCTGGGACTTTGCCGCGGGGTGCTCAGCGAGCTCGAGCGTGCTCTGGCATCCAGCAGAACTGGATTCGAACCTTGCTCGATGCCAAGTACAGACAACATGTTTACTACATTGGTGACAGCTGCGCTACCCCACCAGCTGGGTGACCTGGACAACTCACCCAGCTTCCTGCGAGACTGTTTTCTCATCTGAGCAATGCTTGCACCAATGTGGGGACCCTGATCTGCTCCCTGGGACTTTGCCGCGGGGTGCTCAGCGAGCTCGAGCGTGCTCTGGCATCCAGCAGAACTGGATTCGAACCTTGCTCGATGCCAAGTACAGACAACATGTTTACTGCATTGGTGACAGCTGCGCTACCCCACCAGCTGGGTGACCTGGACAACTCACCCAGCTTCCTGCGAGACTGTTTTCTCATCTGAGCAATGCAGGTGACGATGCAAACCCCCGAGTCATGCCCCACGTCCACACAAATAAATGACAACTGACATCTGGTTCTGGACCAGGGCCCAGCGCACTCTGCATGATTGCCAGGGGTGGCTGAGGAACGGGGAAGCTACAGACGAGCGGATGCATGAATGCAATGATGAGAGGACATTTCTGCTTCTCCTGACGGGGTCCCACCCCAGCCCCAGTCCAGCCCATTGCTCCCATGTTTCCTGAGAATCGGCTGAGCACTAAGGGCAGTGTGCAGAGTGCCTGGGCTGCTCCCCGACCCCTAGGACCACCCTTCAGAAGCTCGCAGACCAGCACGTGGCCCCCGCTCTCTCCTCCACCCTCACCAACCCCTGTGGCTTCTGGATCTTCATCTGACATGGTCTCACATCAGCCTTTTCTGTAACAGTGACTGCGGTTTTCTGCTTCCTGTATTTCTTGAGACTCAGCTGAGCGCTAAGGGCTGTGCATTTAAAACACACGGTGACATCACCGGTGGCAGACACCAGGGAGGGGGCGCCTTTGGGAACTGTCAGTGCGTACTCTGAGTGGCAGTAAAATGAGCAAGGCGCTTTCTGAATTCACTTGTCACGTCTTCCCTTGATCATTGCCCCATTAAGAGATGAGACACCTGGGGACCTCCCTGATGTCCCCTGGCTGGGGGGTCATGTCAGAGCTGGAATGAGGACAGGGGTCCCCAGTCTAGGTGCTGCTCCCTGGAGCCCCCTCAAATTCAGGGGGCCCCACAGCACACCACGGGCCCTCCACGCCTGCTCTCCCAGGTGCAGGGGGAATCCGGGGATCAGAAAAAACTATGAGGCAATGGCATCCGTTCAGCAGGACCAGCTGCTGCTTGTGACACTCACTCACTCATTCATTCATTCCTTCAACATCAGCTGAGTGCTTGTGTGGGGCACAGGTCTAACCCCAGTGGTATTTCCAGGCTAAATTCTCAAACACCCTCTCAAGGGCATCACCGATCAGTGTTCTCTTTTTTCCTAAAGACGCAAATGTCTCCCTGCCTGCACCCCTGTCCCGATGTCTGCAGAGGCGACTCTGCTGCGTGCCCCAGTTGGAGCCCCTCCGAGGCTGCCCGGCTCCATCTGCCCGAGCCCCCAGGGGACCAGCATGGACGCCTCACTCCTGGTGCCCTTGGTCTGCTCGGATGTCCTATCTGAAGCCCCCTTGCTGAGTTCCTGCCCATCATCTCATTAACCCCCACCCCACCCCCGTGACCCTGGTGGCTGCTGCACGCAGGGCCAGGGTCTGTCTGTCCTCCCTGCTGTAGGCCTGGCTCTACATGAAGCCTTCCCTGACCTCCCGGCCTCGGAGACTCCCTGCTTCGTGCCTGCACTGTTGCCTCTGCCTGTCTCGTTTCCAAAGGTGGACACAGCCTTTGGGGCCAGCCCTGGAGCCACAGCCACACCCCAGCTGGCGATGCACAGAGGGGTCTCCTCAAGCAGCTTGGGGGTGGCTTCAGGGCCAGGCTGGCTAGACAGACAGAACTTGGAGGATGCACAGGAGATGAGTGGCTTGACCTCCTGTGTCCACTGCTGCCTAGAGTCTTAGGGGTGGACGGGGCTCCCCGGCCTGGGTCAGCACCAGCCTCCAGGAGCCTTGCTTGGCCTCGCCTCTGAATCACAGTGACCCCAGGGAGGAAGATGACAGTGGGCAGGAGGCAGAGCTTCTGTCCTTGCCCGTCCCAGCGCTCAGCCCTCGTGGCCGATGAAGGGCCTCCACGCGCCACAAGCTGCTGTGTCCAGTCCTAGGCTGGGGTGCTGCCTGGGTGTGTCTCTCACTGACCCCCCCGCCCCCCAAGAGAGCCCCGTGGCTCAGTGGGTGGGGGCAGCACTCAGGAAAGGCGAGCTGCTCACAGCAGAATGAGGGTTTGATTACCTGGAGGTTGGTAGGCTGTCCTCTTACCAACCTGGGCTGGAGTCGGACATGGGATGAGGGCCACTCAGGGGGCAGGTGTGGCTGAGTTGGGGGTGCTGTGAGTGTGGCAGCGGTAGTGGGTGGGGGTCGTTCCCTCCCACTCACTGTCATCTCTCCACAAGAGAAGCTCCCAGCTCTGGACCTGGGTGAGGCTGGGGTCAAACCCAGGTCCCCCACCACCAGCTCTGTGATGACTGGGTGGTAGCCTCACCTTCCTGGGGCAGAAAACTGAGGATACTAACCCGGAAAATGGGATACTAACCCCTCCTTTCCAGGAACAGAGTGAGACCGTGCATGTGAAGACCCCGGGCAGGGTCTAGGGAGACGCAGGCACAGGCGAAACCAACCCCCTGCCTTTCTCTCTTCTGTCCCGAGTCCCCTCCAGGTACCAGTGTCCCCATGGAAGTTCCCCCTCCCCCCAGCAGCCTCCCCACCTCCGCATTCCAATTCTGTCCAAGAAACCTTTACAGCAGTGAAAGTCAGAGAGGGGAGGCGGGGATGGCCTGCAGAAAGCTGACATCGCATTAAAAGGTGCCACCAAGATGCCCTGGACACCCCCCAGCAAACGGCAGTCCACACCAGTCCTCATGTTCCATAAAACTCTACGAAGGGGCCTGATCCCTGCAGAACCTGCCAAGTGCACGCACCCCCTGACTCCTCTGGGCTTAACCATCACACCCGCCAGTGCCCTCCGCGTGGGGCCCCCTCGTGCGAGCAAGTGGCAGGCTCTGTGTTCCCATTTCCAGGGCGGGGTTACACCCCGTTTCCCAGGAGGTGCCTGACCTGTCCAGGTCCGTCTCTGTGACACTGAGCTGTTTCTCTGGATGGAATCAAGCATGCAGGACCGCTGGGGGCACACCCAGGGTACTTCCTCTGACTCATTCTGGGGTCCCAAGGGGGCCAGGAGGCAACCCTGGGCTTGCAAAATCCCCAGTTCTCTTAGAACTTGGCATGAGTGGCAGTGTCTGGAAATGATCAAGTTCCCTGACCCACAACCAGGTGGAGAGCAGAATCAGGAGACTCTCTCAGGCCAGGAAAACAGAAAGTAAACTTCAGACGAAAAACCAAATCAACCAAAAAAACGTGGCAGGCGATCAGACTGTTTTTCACTGCTTTGCCAGGACTCCAGACCAGGAAGACTCTTTATCCCCTCCAGAGCAGCCACTACCACCCCCCAACCCCCCAACTCTGCCTGGATGGAGGCTGGCCCAGGGCAGGGGCAGACACAGACACCAGGGTAACTTTTCCTGCCTCCAGGCCCAACCACTGTTTTAAACCCCTTCGTCCAAATGAACTCAGGTGGAAGAGTGAAGGGTGACGCAGAGAGCTGGGAGGTAGACGCCTCACCTGCCCTGAGGGTCCCAGAGGAGCAACGTGACCCAGCCGCCCTGCCCCCGCGCACAGAGAGATGCCGGGCGCAGCACCTACCTTTCTCTTGTTGGTCGGGCAGATGTAGAAGTTGTCGATGACGGTGGTGACGCCAGGCTGGAGGGTGAGCTTGGTGTAGGACGTGCCGAAGTCCGACGACCTGGGGGGACAGGACGACGGCTGTCAGCCACGGGTCCCTGCCACGCCTGTGGGCCCTGATGGTGTCCGGCACAGGCTGTGTGCCAGGGGTCTCTGGGGATGCCCAGGGCTCCCCCAGCTCTGTCTTCCAGCGAGCCACCTGCCCTGGGCATCCCACAGTGTCTCACCCTGTCCACGGTCTGTGTGAGTTCTGCCGTAGCTTCATCACTCTCGTTAGGAAGGGTCTCGCAGGTCCTGGCCATGTCTTTTTGATTCCTCAGAAAACCCTGACAGATTATGGCCCTATGTCCATCTTGCAGAGGGCCAGAGGACCAGAGGGGATCTGTTCCTGCCTGAAATCACTTAGCGAACAGGTCGCCAACTCAGGACCTGCATACTAGCCTGCCCACGAACAGCTGGCGTCCTGTTTTTTCTACAGAAGATCCCCACCACCCTGAGTCCTGTCTGCTTGTCCATTTCCCTCTCTGGACCATGAGTTCCTCCAGGGAGCTGCACCCTCCTCCCTGACCACATGCACCCCCAGGGCCCCTGGGAATCAGACCCCCGTCCCCGAGCCAGCCGGTGGGCATCAGCACCCGCTCTACTCTGTGGGGCCCAGGGGCCCGTGTTCCTGTCTGTAAGGAAGGCCTGCGGGAAGGACCCTCCAAGTTCTAACCTCTGCCCAGAGCAGCCGCAGCAGCAGAAGAGATACAGGCATCAAGGGCAATTTCACGGCAGTCAGAGCATCGAGACATGGAATTAATCCCATGTTGAAGCTCAGCACCCTCAGCTGAGCTCAGCTCAGGGACCCTGGGCCCAGCGCTCCTTGGGACCAGCTGGTTAAAACGTGCAGTGACCGCAGAGCTGGAGGCACATTCTGACCCAGGCGGCACTTTCCACCCCCTCCCTAAACTGACACGTGAAGTCCCGGAGGCCTCAGTTTCTCCCAGAGCATCCGGTCTTCTGACCAGTCAGGAAGCTCACCCCGAGGTGGGGACACAGACAGGAGCGGGCGTCCAGGGCTACTGAGGCCCGCTGGGCTGGCGCCCCTTGGACCTGTCCATCTGATCACCACTGAGACGGGTTGGACGGAGCTGAGCTCCAGGGCTGAGGGTGGCCGATCCCAGCTATTGGCGGGGGCTCAGCTGGTATCCGGTCCCTGGACCCCGGCACTGTGTGGGGCCTGGGCTGCAGGTAGCCCCTCCTGACCCATCTCAAGCTGTGAGTCTCAGACTTACTTGCCCAGTGTAGCCGGGGTCCAGGGTGAGGCCTGGAGCTGCCCAGGGTAAATGCCCCACCCCACCAACAGTGTTGTAGCTTCATCCCATCATAGTACATCCTCACCTTTCTACAGGGATGTACTTCCTCCCTGCCTCTTTCCTAAGCCTGCCCTTTCCCAGAGGCTCTAGGAAGATGGGTCGTGTTTATAGCCCTGGGGCTCAGTGGCCCCTTGTCCCCAGAGGTCAGGTCCTTCAAAGGCCTGAGGTCACAAGGTCCTTCCCCAGGACCGGACAGAAAGCAGCCCCTGTGCCCCTGTCTCCCGGAAACTCCAGCAGGGCTGCCCCTACCCCACCCCACCCAGTCTCCTTCCCCCAGCAGGATCCTCTGACTATCTACCCACTCCCCTCCCCAGGTGTCATTAGGGAAGCGCTTACTCTCAACACCTTGGAGAATTACTTTCCTTGGGAAGGAGGAAGCCGAGGCCCATTACCAGAGGAATGATTCAAAGACCCAGGAACTTCCAGAACCCCTGGGAGAGAAACAGCGTGTGCCTGGCTACCTCCAGCCTCTTGGTCCCCTCCCCTCTCCCTCCCGCCCAACAAGCCACCTCTCAGATCTGTGATGGGCTCTGCCTCCGGGACACCTGGCCGTCTACACTTCCCTCCATCCAGACACCCACCCGCCCCAGCCCAGCTGCTCCCTCCCCCCACCTATGACCACAGCAGCCTGTTCACACCTGCTCACTCAAGGGCACCTGCTGGCGTGAGCCCTCGGCAGGGAGCGAGTGGGACCCTGTGGCCTGGGAATCTGTATTCTATCAGGGCCTGGGGAGCTGGCTGATAAAAAAGCAAAAACACAGCTCTGTCAAAGGAGACAAAGACTGGGAAGAAGCATAAACAGGGTGGGGGACAGAGGGGGCAGTAGAGAGCTGTCTCAGAGCGAGGCAGGGACGGCCCCTCAGACACTGGGCTGAGACGGGAAGGAAGGAAGAGAGGGTGCTACGTGCCAGCTACAGACACCAACGACTGCCAGCCACCCCCAGGAGCTCAGAGAGAGGCAAGGAACAGATTTCCCCTACATCCTCCAGGAGACCCAACCCTACCAACACCCAGAACCCAAGCTTCCAGGCTCCAGACTGGGGACAGCAGTTTCCATTGTCTAAAGGCAGTATGGTACTTCATAAGACAACCCCAGAAAACCCTCCGTGTAGAGGGAGGTGCAGACACAAAGGCCCAAGGAGAGGGCCCCCTCTCCCCTCTCCTCTCTGGACAGGGAAGGTGAAAGTGAAAATGAAAGTCATTCAGTCATGTCCGACTCTTTGCGGCCCCATGGACTGTAGTATGCCAGGCCTCCCTATCACCAACTGCTGGAGTTTACTCTAACTCATGTCCGTCAAGTCAGTGATGCCATCCAACCATCTCATCCTCTGAAACCCCCTTCTCCTCCCACCTTCAATTTTTTCCAGCATTAGAGTCTTTTCAAATGAGTCAGTTCTTTGCATCAAGTGGCCAAAGTTTTGGAGTTTCAGCTTTAGCTTCAGTCCTTCCAATGAATATTCAGGGCTGATTTCCTTTAGGATGGACTGGTTTGATCTCCTTGCAGTCCAAGGGACTCTCAGGAGTCTTCTCCAACACCACAGTTCAAAAGCATCAGTTTTTCAGCACTCAGATTTCTTTATAGTTCATCTCTCACATCCATACATGACCACTGGAAAAACCATATCTTTGACTAGATGGACCTTTGTTGGCAAAGTAATATCTCTGCTTTTTAATATGCTGTCTAGGTTGGTCATAGCTTTTCTTCCAAGGAGCAAGCGTCTTTTAATTTCATGGCTTCAGTGATGTGCAGTGCTCAGTATGCAAACCAGATTTGCCAGGGAACACCCCAAACACCCGATGATGCACAGGGTGGGTGTCTGTCTCTTCCCTGGAGTGCGATATCTCTGTTATGAGCTCACCAAGCCTGAGGCACAGATGACTCAATTAAACGCCTTCCGTTCCTGATTCTTCTCTAAACTCCCCACAGCCGCAGGGTACCAGCCCTGAACCTAATGCCACCTCCTCCTGCAGTGCCACCAGGTACCAGAACAGGAAGGTTGTGTGACCTCCAGTGAGCAAGTTTCCATCTCTGGGCAAGTTTCCCATAGAAACCAGTCAAATTTGCCTGATGTCTGAACACCAGCCACAAGTGCCCCCTGGACTTGCCTGTTGAAGGGAGACTCCCCAGTTCATCTCCGGATGGTCAAAATTCCTGTGAGAGCTGAGCATGTCCAGAAGGAAGAACAGGAGCGAGGGGAGGAGGGGAAAAGGAGGGTGGGGAGGAGGGGAGAAGGAGAGAGGAGGAGGGGAACAGTGCTCACCCAGGGTCTCCTCTGGGCCAGGCCTCCTCCCAACCTACACCCTGACCTTCCCCAGTGCTCAGACCATCTCCAAGTTCTGACTGTAACTCAAAAGTGATCATCCCATCTAGATTTATTCAAATTAAAAGTTTTGAATAAAAATAGACTCTACATCCAGCAAATAGATATATGAAAGGCAAGTGCAGTTGGAAAACTGCTATTTGTAAATTGGCTGCTTAATTGCTAAGTGTTTGTACATATGCACTGTAAAAAAAGTGATTTAATTGAGCCGTTTTCATACTCTATAATTATTCCATTGGCATAGACATGCGTCAGCTCCCGCCCCCCCCAAGGGTGAGCCCCCCCGGATCCTAGGATCTGCTTGGCCACCCTGGAAAACCGCGCAGGTGGGAAGGGCGTGACCCCTGCGTGGCTGGTGCCACCTGCAAGCTTGCGGTCTTGAGCAAGGCCTGGACCTTGGCGAGACTCGGCCTATCTGTAAAAGGGGCCAAAGGCACAGACCTCAGACACCCACGATGAGGCTGGACATGGTGGACTCACAGTCCCGGGGCCACCTGAGGGGTGCTGACCCCGCACCGCATCTGTGTGGACCTCGCTCTGGCCGGGCACACAGCTGCGGGGACTTGCCATCTGTGCCTGCTGATAGGTCTCTGAGGACCAGCACTGCCCCTGCTTGGTCACTGTGCCAAGCCCCTGGGCAGACCCCAGGGCCGTGCCAGGGGCCTGGGGCCCGGCCGGGAAGGGATGTGTACAGAGTTCTTCCATGGCACAGCCAGGACTCAACTCTGGTCTCCGGGCACCTCCCCACCTCCTTCCCAGCAGGGGAGGCATTGTGTGTTAGGACAGTTTCCCAGCTGACCACCCTGCTGATGTGAGATGAGAAGGGACGGATGGCAAGGGGCCACCACCCAGGGGTCCTCAGGAATCGACAACCCCAAGGGACCTGGAAAGCTGAGGCTCTGATCCGCCACCCAGGGCAGACAAATACACCCTCGTGGAATCATTGAGACAAAGACCTGCCCAAGCCGCTGATAGACAGTCAAGTCATTCTGGAAAATTCTATGATGTGGCTTGAGATTTTGAGTGTGAAATGTGGAGTCAGGTGCCAGCTGGGTGGGTGAGCTGCTGGAAGGGGTCTCAGTGTGCCCTTGATGGGGCACGACAGCTGTGGTGGGGGAGGCGCCAGTCAGGTCACCCCGAGGTTCTGAGACTGTGGTCTCCCTCCAGTGGGAAAGGCGTCTTGTGGGGAGATTAATAGACATGGGGGCCTACACTGTCTGGACACCACACTCAGGGTGGAGCTCAACCTCCTTCGGACAGGATGACCACATTGGCCCAGGAGCACGCCTTCCCATTTTACACATGGGAAAACTGAGGCTCAAGGCCTACCACCTGCCTTGTGCAGGATCTCACGGCAGCTACAGGAAGCTCGGTTTAAGCCC